TAAACTTAAATAACATAATTATTAATAAATATGTACAACTTACAATTAACTACAACTAAAACAGTGAATAAAAAAAGATCAGTTAAGCGACGAAGAATACGTCCGCATCACTGTCACTGGGGACGTGCCCAGAAGACTGGCAGCATTGTCAAGTTGAATGGAAATATTAATTTTCTGTAGTATTTCTTGATTTTTAATGGATGTCATTTATTTATTATCTGTTAATACATGAAAAATTCTAATATTACAAATCAAATATCCTTAATAATCAAGGAAATAATTTTAGATTTAAGATGAAAACACTGAAAAATTGTGAATCGAAAGTTTCAATGTCAATCATGTTTGCTATAAACAGTTGAAATACTTGACAATTACGTGTAGTAAGGTCATTAGGTACAATATGGTTGTATCGTGAATCAAGTGTAATTTACGTTGCCACCGATTGCTTCTTTATGAACTATGCGCACGCTGCCATTGTTACTTATGCTATTAATTCCTACTCACATTTGTATTGTTAAAGTAAAATTACAATGAAGTTAAATACCTATATAATAACAGTTACAACAAGCAATAAAATGTAACTTGATTTTCAAATTTTCTCGCAGGATGTTCGAAGGTGTGGTGAACTATTGCAGTTTTCACGGGAATGTGATCCCTCTGTCGTTCGTACTAGGGTTCTATGTTACCGTGGTTATGAATCGATGGTGGAGTCAGTACACCACCATACCTTGGCCCGACTCTATTGCTGTCTTCGTCTCCGCGACTATACATGGACAGGTATGTACAAAATGACTTTAGACCCGGAGGCAATAGCACAATGTTATTTTATAATTATATCTAATAATAATAACTCACCATAGTCGCAATGCCAGTATTATTTAGTCTATAAGCGAGGTAGTCTATGTACATGTTTTACTTTTGTTACATCCTACGCTATGTAAATAGATATGTAAATTACAGTTCTGTGAATACTAAGTTATCTATGTATTACGTATGTTCTTCCGGCTATAGTACTGGTTGACTCAGGCTTTAATAATTTAGTTTTAAATAAGTACCTATTTCATTGATAAGTAAAGATTATGATGTCCAAAAATACCTTTAGCCTTCTAAATCTGATATGGTCAGTTGTTAAATGTACCTAAATAGGGTATATAGGTCAGCGTAGGCGTAGCACTGTAGGTACGTGTAGGTACTAGGTACATAAATGTTAGAATTAGACGAAAATGTTCAAACATGATTTAAAATTCCTATTTTTTCGATTCATATTTTTAACAGTAAATTGTAGTTGCTGATCATTATGAAAATCAATCACAATTGACGCTGTTGTAAAATTAGGGTTGTTTCAAATATGTCGTGCACGCCTTGGCAACCGTTTACAAGCGGTTTTCAGACTAATGGAAATTCCATTCATATAATGCGGGCCACGATTTCCATGGTCCTCGGGTACAACGACTTTTTGACCTTTGCAGTCGTAGTACACGTAAACAACTTGACGCATTTTGATGTTATCAGGTGGATTATACTAAAATGTGACTGAAAGCCGGTCTGAAAACAACATTACTGCGATAGTACATTTAAAATATAGGTTTCGTGTCTAATAGCGGTCAGTGGCATTGCAAAACATATTATTACGCTACATATTTACTTTGCTCCTTGATGTAGTATTCACAACATCAGCCCGTATAATTTATTACCCTTCACATTATTCCTTCATTCAGTGGAAGTATACAAGGCGACGTACATTGCAATCTTAAGGAGGTAATCTTATCTCGTCACTTATTACGTAAATCATTTATCTATGTAGGTATTAGCTTTACGTACACTAGGTAACTGCTTTCCTCGCCGGTACGAGTATATCAAATAATTCACTTTAATCCTAGGTATAAAATAAAATAATGGAAGACAGAAGCTGAACTAGGTTTAGCTAGAAACTTAGCTATGATAAAGATGAATGAGTCGTTTATAATTTGTACATAGATATAACAGTATGCTAACGGTTGTATAATTATAACATAAATAAATATAATTTATGACAGCAGAGGACCTGATAGTTGATACAGTCAATTAAGAGGATATACGATGTGTCTATAAATTATAGTTCTTAAAAAACTATTGCAAAATCAATTATTTAGAAATATTTTTCCACAATTAAAAAATTAGTCCGTAATTTAGAGATATATAAATGTGTGATAGTACATAGTAAGTACTTATTCTTTTTGGTGATATAATCGCGATGACGGAAATGTAGTAAATATAATCTAGTACTCAGATAACAAAATTTCAGGAAATGTTTTTATCTGAAATAGATTATCATGATGAGGCATTACGATTTACACTGATAGACAATCTGCGGGTATAGGACTGACCAAGTTTTCTTCCTTTTCATTTTTTTTTATGCCATAAGCCTGTAAACGAGCCGACGGATCACCTGATGGTAAGCAATCTGCGTCGCCCACGGACACCTGGTACACCAGAGGCGTTACAAGTGCGTTGCCGGCCTTTTGGGGATTAGGAGTTTGAGGATCGTTGGGGATTCAGGAATTGGGGAGATTGGGGAAGGGGAGGGAGATTGGGCCTCTGGTAACCTCACTCACACGACGAAACACAACGCAAGCGTTGCTTCACGTTGGTTTTCTGTGAGGCCGTGGTATCACTTCGGTCGAGCCGGCCCATTCGTGCCGAAGCATGGCTCTCCCACACTTAAAACCTATTCATTAACTGACTATTTATAATTATGTGTCTTACTTACTTATATCTATGTATGAGGGAGCAAAAATAGATTGCTTTCGCCGTGCCATGTCGCTGGCACGTAATAAAAATAAGTGTGTATTTACAAAAAAAACAAGAAACATATGTGTGTGTTTAGCTTTACTATCACCGACAAATATAGCTTAGTTTCAATTTATAACAAATCATGATTCGACACACCTAATGTAAAAAGTACACAAAGCCAGTCCGATCAATTAGAAGCGAATTAGTCAGCCTTGAAGTTTAAATTCAGTTCAGTTGTAGGCAGGTACCCAGGATACGACAAAAACGTAATAACTCGATTTTGCAATTACTCACATTGTATTTGAACGCGACGCAATCGTTCGACGATATTGTAATCCTTGACGGTTGGCTATCGCTAATATGATTGTATATACCTACTAAAACATTTTTTATCTCACATTGTTTACATATGGGATTGAATATTGTAACCATTAATTCGGATCTACCTCGTGTGTTCATAAGTTTTGAGACAAATTAAAAGTTGCATATCTTTTTAAATAATAAACTTATATTTATAACAACAATAACAAACATTAAGTAGATAGTAAGTAAAAATTAAATATAATTATTATTCAAAATGACCACCTCTGTTTTTAATAAAAATAATAAAAAATAAAAATAATTTATTCAAAAAATATAAACAGAAATTTCGTATGTCTTAATTCTATATGCTGCTATGTTATTCCATGTGCCTGAACTAGGTTTGAAACCTGTACCTCAGGCAATAAAAACCGCTTAGAATAGAGAACTTAAGGTCTAATTAACAATAATTATATAATCATTCTTATATTAAATTATTTGATTACTCAAATTTTACCTATATATAGAAATGTATACCTAATCACTTAATAAATTAACTTGTTTCTAATTTTATTTACATACAGTCAGCAAAAATTCGGTCTGGTCATAAGTCAGTTGTTGCAAATATGTGCTGACACGTTTTTTGCATTGATAGCAATTCAAGTTGTAATAATAAAATAATTTATTCAAAAAATATAAACAGAAATTTCGTATGTCTTAATTCTATATGCTGCTATGTTATTCCATGTGCCTGAACTAGGTTTGAAACCTGTACCTCAGGCAATAAAAACCGCTTAGAATAGAGAACTTAAGGTCTAATTAACAATAATTATATAATCATTCTTATATTAAATTATTTGATTACTCAAATTTTACCTATATATAGAAATGTATACCTAATCACTTAATAAATTAACTTGTTTCTAATTTTATTTACATACAGTCAGCAAAAATTCGGTCTGGTCTGCCCTTAGACGATTTGGCCAGTCATCAATGGCGGCACGAATCTTTTCCAGAGGAATTCGCTTCGCTTCTCGGACAAGAGCTCGCTTAAGTGACTCCAAGTTTGGGTGGGACTTTCGGCAGGCTCTGAGCTCTAATTCGGTCCATAGAGAATAATCCAGCGGGTTGATGTCGGTGCTGGAAGAGGGCCATTCGTTCGCCGCAATGAAGGCCGGCACATTTTCCTTCAGCCAAGCTTGGGTGGTTTTAGCCTTATGGGATGGCGCCGAGACTTGCTGGAAAACCCAATACTTGTTATGGAATAGGGTATTATACAGGGGTTTCACAACAGTCTCTAAAATATCACTTTGATAATTTTTGGCTTTCACCTTGACGCCTTGTTGGCAGAAATGAAGCTGAGTGACAAATTCATACGAAAATCCCCACCATACCATGACACTAGCCGGATGATGAGTACGCGAGACATTCCGTGCTGAAGGTGGGACATCCTTGCTACTTTTGGCATACACTTTATTGTTTTGTCGATTGAACTTTTCTTCGATGGTAAAGATTTTCTCGTCGGTGAAGAGTATCTTCCTCGCATCGTGTCTCCTAAGCAGTATTGGACAACGTTCGCGTCGCAATTGACGAAGGCGATCGTTTAAAAAGTGTACTTTTCTACGGCTATACGCCGTAACCTTGAGATCATATTTCAGTATTCTGTTGACTGAAACGCGCGAAATATTGGTCTGCAGAGCGAGTTTCTTCTGAGTGCGACATGGATTTCGGCGAAGTCGCTCTCGGATGATTTTAATGTTCGCAGGCGTCCTCACAGAGCGTGGACGACCACTTCTTTGCCGATCATGTAAAGAACTTGTCTCCTGGTATCGTTTAATAGTGTAATACACGAAGTTACGGCTCACACCAAAACTTTTCAGTTCTCCGAAAATGTCCATAGGTTTTCTTCCCACCTTAAATAATGAAATGACGGTCGCACGTAATTCTTTTGTTCCCTCCATTACGAGAAAATTTAAATACAATAATCCGAAATCATAGATATTAAAAGTTAACATTCCAAATTCAAAATTAGAAAAAGAAATATACAGCAGCCAGTAATTTTTATTTTATTTTTAATTTTATAAGCAAAAAGTTTGTCTCAAAACTTATGAACACACTATCGTGAAAGTGGGATAACAAATGGTTGCTGGGGCTTTACTATTAATTTTCAGTGTGTGTTGTATGTGTAGGAATTTGTGCGGACTGCGTAAATTGTTGATGCAAGTTATCATAGACGGGACATGTCTAGTTAATCATGCAATTTGAGGACAGGATGAGCGCGGGCGTCTGATGCGGCGGACCATCGTCCGCTACGTGTGTCTCTGCCTTACCATGGTGCTCACGATGATCTCACCGAGAGTCAAGAAACGCTTCCCTACGCTTAACAACTTCGTTGATGCTGGTCTTCTACTAGAAAACGAAAAAACAATTCTCGACAATCTAAATGACAAGTTCCCTAAGCCCTCTAAACATTGGTAAGCACGATTCTATTTTTGCATTCGATGAAACTTTTTATAAAACACTTAGGTAGTTACTATTAACATAATTATAATCAAATTATCAATTGCTATCATACTCCTACTTTACAACTTTTATCATATCAACTCTTATATTAAAGGTTATCAACTTATCAATGACTAGTCATTTACTGATAAATTCACAAATTATTAAGGAAACGATTTAATCGCCGCCAATTATAAGTAACTCTACTTACGCAACAGAACCAGGACGCAATATGTGATGGATGTTTAAACTGAGTCATCAATTTCAGGTTACCAATTGTATGGGCGACCAGCATAGTGACAAGAGCCCGTAAAGAGGGCCGAATTAGAGACGATTTTGCGGTAAAAACGATTATAGATGAACTTAACAAATTCAGAGGACAAGCAGGACTTCTCCTTAGTTACGATACTATAAGTGTACCATTAGTATATACTCAGGTTTGTACCTACTGAATTCTTTAGACTTCTAAAACCAAAAGTACGTGGAAACTTCTTGGGTGATCCCTAATAATTTGTACTCCTCGTCTTTCAGGTAGTTACCATAGCAGTATACTCATATTTTATAACATCTGCCTTGGGCAGCCAGTGGGTCGACAATAAATTACAACGCAACGATTCCGTCAACATTAGTAATATTGACCTCTACTTTCCTATATTTACTACGCTGGAATTCTTCTTCTATATGGGATGGCTCAAAGTGGCCGAGTCTCTGATCAACCCTTTTGGTGAGGACGATGATGACTTCGAAGTTAACTGGTTGATAGACAGAGATTTGCAGGTGAGTGTCTTACCAAACAAGCTTCTCAAAGCAAGTTTCTCATTAAAATTATTGATACTGATAAAGCATGCATGCGTGTCTTATTAGGTTTCGTACATGATCGTGGATGAGATGCACCACGAGCATCCGGAACTGATTCGCGATCAGTACTGGGACGAAGTGTTCCCGTCGGAGCTGCCTTACACGATAGCGACGGAGAACAACCGAGAGGAGCACCCCGAGCCGTCAACAGCGCGTGTGGCCGTACCAGTGCGACAACGCAGTATGGTGCTATCTGCGCCATCGCAAGTCAAGATCGACGAGATGAACCCCTCCAACACCGTGAGTTACAAGTTCGACCCGCCAGAGGTTAGATTCGACCATTTTATTAGCATGCTGCACACCCGGATTTAATGGAGCTTCGCAGTGTGTCGGTGTTCAGGTTTACGGACATATTAAATCTTACTTACCTACTACTTGTACCTATACGAGGATTGGTGTGCCTAATTCAAGAATGGTTTGAGGAAACGAATTTATTAACATATTGATTTTTTTTTCTTAAATGTTGTGACTAAGGAAAACCTTAAACGTGATAACGTATTTAGAATAAATTATTATTAATTATCTAGCATATCAAATAAAATTATAGATATTTTTATTATTAATCATAAACATGTTATTAAATTGGCTGATAACTACTAACTTACTAAGAACGTTGCTTAATTAGAATGACTAACTTTGTGCGTAACCTTAAAGCAGATACAATCTGTATTTTAACAACCTTCTTCCTTTTAAGAAATTAAACGTAATATGATTAATAAACTAATCTAGCAACTAAGTATTCTCTATATTTAACAATAACAAAATTAATAATTTCTATTCAGTATTTTCGTACGTACAAACGTAACACCTATTTATTTATTTATTTAAATCTACCATGAAATCTGAATAATACGTTTAGGTCACATGTTGGGTCACACTAATTTTATTGAGAATTTTCGAAACTTAAGTATTTGTTCTCTTTCTATCGTTTGTGATATCTTTGGTTATGTTTTGTTACCAACATTATTTGTTGATTGTGTAGTGTGTTCTCTCGACTATTCGTTGTTCCCTCCCTTCTTGTTTATTGTAAGTCGAGTGATTATTTACGTACCTACTTCTTTCCTTTTTATTTCTCAATTAACTTTTATTTCGCATTAAATGTCGCTGTAAATAATAATAAGCGTAATAATGTTCTTTTTTTGTTGATTCTGTTTTAAAGATTAACTGTCTTCCCGTAACAATCTTATCTTCAATTGAGGTATTTATTACTTAGTGTTGTGTCGCGAAAATGATTGATAACATCTGTGTTTCTGAAATAGCGATGCATGGCATTCATGTGCCGGCCTAAATGTTCCAGTATTTATGTATTTTATTCATTTGGTATAAGACTATGTATTAAAATTGATTTGTGTTATATAGCAACTGCAAATGAACGACGATGCGGTTTCGGGAATCCATTTCATCGTGAACCGCGGCAGTAAGCGCGGGAAAAAGGAAGACAGAAACTCTATGGGCTCCACCAACTCCATGGCGTCGCTACAACAAACTCCGATGGCGCGAACCAATTCTGTCACATCGATGCTGAAGAGACTGTTCTCGAAAGAAGACCAAAGGGGCACGTCAGCAACACAGACCGATGGTGGTACGTTCAGGCTGTTGAAGCACGATGGTAACTCTTCATTAACAATTTCCCATCGCATTCTTTCGTTTGATTAACTGTGTGATTGGTGGTGGAAGGCTTTGTCTGTTCTATCCCCTATTCCAACAGTGACGTACTAGACTTAAGGAGTATACATAAGTTAGTTAGATTCATAAAACTCGCACCTTTGGCCCAGACTTTGACAAATCTAAAGAACGCACTGATTCTTCTTCGATCACGATCATGCATCTAGACATACAAGTACGTTTTTGAATAGGAGACAAGTATTATTCAGCGAATAACATGTTCCGGATGTCTGTGGTGTTGGTGACTAATACACATTCTTAAATTATAGCACAATTAATTAAATAGTAGGTATTTCTTAAAGAACAATATCTAGGTCAAAAGTGTTCGAAGCGACATTCTCGCCTCGCAACATCTGAAGTAGCTGTTTGTTTGCTAGCAGATGTCGATCGATGCCAATTCCCAGTATCATTATCACTGTGTTAAACACTCGCGTAAACTTCTTATCCGTACACGCGTCATCTTCGATAATGCACTGAAAATTAACAGCTTAGTAGTTAGTACATAACATTAATCAGTTTTGATCGTATCTCAGTAGTTAATGATTGCTACGTTATCGTTACAGGTTCTCGTTTTACGATATCTGCCAGTAACCCAACTCTGAACAAGCCCACCACTGCCGGAGGTAGTATGAAGATCGCGAATGATATTATTGAAGAGGTTGATGAGCAAGCCACCATCACTAGCATGGGGAAACGACCTGACACTAGGTAATTATAAATTAATTCTAAGTTAAGTCAAGTATATTGACAATGGTTGAAAAATGGCCCAAATTCCTACAATTCTATAGGCAATATAAGATTTTGGTTCTTGTATCTGAACTAATATTTGCTACGTATTCGTTAACGCCAAAACATTTCAGTTACATAATAATAGTAGGTATTATTACCAATAAATAGGTAAACTAATTGCTAATAATAATACGATAAATGGACTAATGAAGTAATAAATACACCGTGGAATCTATTTCGTTTTTGTCCAGCGGCGAAACAACCTGCCATAATGTATAATGTAAAAATAAAGATCTCATTTATTTATTTTCCCAAAAAGAAATTATAGAAAGGCGCACATGAAACACACTATACGTTTTATAGGCTCTATTCGCACCGCAAGTGCCGACCTGCCGACAAATACCTCCTCGAGAACTACATGGGGCGTGATGGTTTGATAATGTTCGTATGCGCTTTCGAGTTTTGATTTATGTATGGTTCACCAGTTATTTTTTGTTTTAAACATTTTATTTATTTGTAAAACTTATTCTATTACCAAGATAACCATTTTTCTGCGGGACGAAAACGAAATAGATGTCATGGTAGATAATTACATACAATAATAGGTAGGTATGGACAATTACCTCTTTCTATTTTTATGTTATAGGTACTTACTATAATAATTATACAATATCTATAATTAACATAGGTAATATTTTAATGTTACGTTTACCTAACCTGTTAGCCAAACTTGTACTTAAAGGAGAACGGCAAATTTCGTACCGCTTTGCTAAAAAAAGATTTGTCATTGTTTTGCCTTGGGCAATTGGGTAGCTATAGAATCCTCTAAATACGTTATGTTAGCATATTTAATAGATTTTTAGAACTTGGGAAGCCCTAGAAAATCTGATATTCAATAATGATAAGAAGCAATCAACAAAACGGCTACATATTAAATAAAAACAAACCGCGATTGACGTTTATAAAGTTGCCATGCGTAAACATGAAATCAGAGTATATTGAATGTCGCTATTTCATAAACTCATTTATTTTAATATCAATGGAATATTTTCCTTTCCATTTCAAACATTTTTTATAAGTAAATATCATTATTTTAATTTCATTTTGTGAGGTCTACATGGATTATTAACGATAATTAACATTTTCACAAACTTGAATATGGCAATGTTGAACTGGTATTTGACATTTGTTGTTGAAGACGATTTGTCAATGTCAAGTGCGCCTTGCTGTTGGTTTCGAATGCGGTGTTATGATGTGTTTGTACAAATTGGAAGTCATTTTATTCATCTGGTGATACTTTGAGTTGGGCAGCCGTTCCTCCGTAGCCGAAATTGCGAAAATACACTTATTTTCATTTGTGCATAGTGTGTTGTATTTTGTCGCGATGACGAATTTACAGTGCATTAATTACAACCAGAGTTTGTCGCATGAGACGGCATGCTCTAGGAAATGAGAGTGAAGACTAGACGTGGTCAACAATATCCCATTGTGGACTTATCCTAGAGATGTAAGTAGGTACTTACCTATAATTACACATGACGTATCGAAAGTCACCTTGTTGCCTAAATAAAGGGGGCATAGTGTTATCTACCTATAATGTATCATTTTATTCTAGATCTCTCCTACCGACCATATTTGCCATGCTTGCTGGCAATTAGCAATGTATTGGGATGTTCCTGAAAGTATGTCCAGCAAACAAACTGATCATTGACATGTCTGTGTCGTATGTGGGCATTCCATTGCAAGGATAAGGTGACGCAGGGGTTTAATTGAAGGCGCCAACGAACAGGAGCAAAGACTAGCTCATATAGTATCTGATTGGATTCAGCCACGAAAGGTAATAATTTATTGTATTAACCATATACTATTATCATATAATTTAAAGTCAATATGACATTCTAATAATATTACTTTTTTTAGCTTACTTCCAATGATGAAGATCGTGTTCCATGCTGGCTGAGAGCCTTAACAAGAGTCGGATCTATAAGACCACAACCTGACATACCACCTCATAGTGTTCACTATCAGGATGTAATGTGTTATGTAAACATTTAAAAAAAAAAAAAAAAAAACGTTGCCCCACACTAGGATTTTCTCCTGTGTCGTGGGTGCGTTTACAAACATACAAGTTCACATACACAATGGACTAAGCCTCACTTTAACATTGCCGTTTGTAGAACAGATGAGGCCAGAAGATGTTGATCGGCTGTCAGAGCTTCAATAGGTATGTGAAGTGTATAACCGGTTTATAATAGGTTTATACACATGTTATAATTATAATAATTGATTAATTAGCATGCTGTTTGAGCTCCTATGATGTGTGTTATAGGAATACCCTATTAAACTGTCAAACACCAAGCGGTCACCGGTGACCGCAACCTATTGTTCTATAATTGTGTCTATAATGATGGTACTCGACGAGTTAAAGGCATTTTAACATTGTAAAATCAAATAATGTAATCAAATATTTATTTTTATCTTTTCTATTTTGAGATAGGGAATCAGAATTATAACATGTGAAACTAATGGAAAAAATGTTGTTTTGTTTACTTTATTTACAGTTATCTTACTTGTTTACAGATATCAGCAATTAATGAAGTGTGTGCTGTATGACACCGCCTGCTCTCTTTTTAGAAGAAGTACTCCTAGAAACAACCTAAATACAATGAAATAAAAGTATTTCAAAATAATACATTTGTTTTATTTTAAACAGGTACCTAGTAACTATATATAAACAATCTATAAAATAAATGCCATCTTTATTTTAGATTGCTTTAGTTTTATACCAAAAATGTTCATTTTCATTTTACATTTCTTTACTTGTGTTGTGGTGGCCAGGAGGTTTAAGAAGCCCGTTTCTCATGCATGAGAGTGCAAGTTGCAACGGCAAAGTACCAATGTGACTTTTTCGAGTTATGTATATATATTTTTTATTTATTATTTAATAATCTAAGAAAGTACAAAGACACCACTGACAAACGGTGAAGGAAAACATTGTGAGGAAACCTGGGCTTATAATTTCTAATTATAAGTTTGAAATCACCAACCCACATTAAGCTAGCGTACTGATTAAACTGTCAAACACAGAGCGGTCACCGATGACCACAACCTATTGTTCTTTAATTGTGTCTATAATTACGGTACTCAACGAGTTAATGCTTAAACCTAATCCAGTGAGAAGAGACCTTCGGTCGGCATGGGCCACTTATAGACTTAATGATGAAACTGATGATGATTTTACTTATTTGACTTACTTATTAGAAATTAAACCTTAAAACGCTTGCTAAGCAACCAGTTTTCAGAAGAAATACTTTCTCAAAGAGCTACGCTTAAGTTTAAATCGAATTAACTTAAAGACTATTTGTATATCAGGCCTCTGCCTCGAATCTTGATTTTACACATTAAATCTTGCATCTGCCCGCAAGATTCAAGGTGAAGTGAGACATTAGTTTTATCATATCCGCCAAAAGACGTCCACTGCTAAATGTAGGCCTTCTACCCAATGACAGTCGCTCACAATATTAATTTGCATTTTCGTAGGCACCTAGTAAATGAAAGAGATTGTAAAGCATACTCTGTAAAACTCTATAGTTACAGCATACTTGCTGAATTAACAGTTAATTAATTTACTCATAATACAAAGTGTAACAGTCACGAGTAGCGAGCAGTGTTTAGAGTTTAGTTTGTAAACAAAACAACCAAATAAAAAATAAGTCAACATTGACATTTTTCAATTAACTGTCATCTGTCATTTGTCATATTATGTACTTTTGCGTAAAGGTGGCATTATACTTGACATTGCGTATTTGTTGTGTACGGCCAAAACAGACCATGTGTGGAGGGTTTATTCGTCTTCATTTGCTATATACGTATATTTGCACGCTTTTACATTTATAGATACTATTTGGACGCCATTTGTACGTAGTTCACAAATATTTGTACAAATGAAGCGAATACGCAATGGCAAGTGTAATACCGCCTTTACGTACCTTCTGCACATTTTCAAAGTGAAATAACTTTTGAACCCGAAGTTCTAAAAATATGTAATTTTTTTCTAAACTTCATAATAAAAATATCTATCGTTCAGACCATTCACTTGGTTAAAACAATGACAAATACAAAATTTTATAGCGGTACCAAACCTCCATACAAACCTGCCATTCTCCTTTATACAAGCTAATTTGGTCCTAATTACATAGGTCTTAGCTGTAAAACTCGTAGATATATTTTACACGTGCACATACAGTTGCCTGTATGCTACATACTTATACGTTACATACGAAATACGTAGAAAAATAACAATCACTCAATATGCAAATGAATTTCAAACGAAAATCTGAATGTCAACAACGTCATTGTAGTATAACGAGTCCATATTTAGATGGTGCATTTAAACCACAATAAACAATAATGGACTCAAATTAATTGTTATTACTTGTGTCCTGTTATCAATAGACGGTGACGAATTCTTCATCACAAACTTGCTTAAAAACCACCTTCTGTTCAAATGGCGTAGGTCAGTCACCTACCTTTGTTACTATAAATACCTAGTATAGTAGATACCTTTAAAAAAACAGTTTTTTTTTTAATATTCCGGTTTAAGCACTTTAAACTACAGTACCTAACTACTTACCTACCTTACCTATGTAGGTAATTAAAATTGATTCTAGAGTTGTTCGGAAGTAAAATACCTACCTATTATTAACCTGAATTCACTAAAAATTTACCTGTTAATAACATGACTTTATAATATTAATTAAATATACTTAATGAGAATATTGTTTTGTAACTACTTCCTAGAAATACATACTTATTCATGAATTATGACGTTATTTGTGTTGCAGGCCTACAGCGATGAGTTTGTTCACTCAAGCGCCTCCGACGCCAAGCGACCCAGTCGACGTTCCAGTCAGAAACTCAAACAAAGCCAATTCTAGTATGTTAACCTGATTTATTTAAATGTTTTCCTCTTCTTTGTTACGTACTCAGTAGCTACTTCATCATTGTAAATAAGTTCTAATGACCTCATAATTTACATGTGATTAATGTTTTCAAACTAAACTATTCTTAGTAATTCTAATTTATCATCGTTCAGTTAACTTACCCAGTCAACTTACGTATAAATCATAAGACAATTTTCATGAAAGTAACGCATTTAACCGTAGATATATGTACAAGGTATATATTGTTACAAGGCAATTTGTGATGCAGTGTCCTTACAAAATACTTGATACGTGTTAATTGGGAGTAATTTATGATATCATCATTGCTTCAATGCAATGTAGTTACGCAGCCCAATGACCTGAAAAACGAACGCTTATTTGAATGTCAAGGTATATATATTTCCTCTATTTTTTTTTGCCTACTATAGAGACCTTTTAATGATACGATTCAGTGCCCAATAAATTTTTGTTTTCAATAATCAACTACTGAAACGCTTCTCATGGATGTATCGTGAGATTGTGGGCAATGGCTCACATCGCCTAGCTAATCAAGTGTCTAGTCTACTCAGTACCTACCCTACCAAACAAAGAACTAGAAATAACTGGAAGAATAGCCAATAGCCAATGAATTTATGAATCAGATTTCTTCTACTGAAAAGTTCCTAATTCTGTCCACCTTTACTGTTACTGTCATTAATCCACAGACTCTCGCTTGTCATCATCAGCGCCAAATCCTTACGCAGTGCGACCTAGTGAGGGAGGAGACCTTAGTCCTGCAGCCCAGTCACTCAATACGCAGGATTCTTTCGTTTTGCCCGAAGAGCGTCCAAGACTCGACAGCGATGTAGGCCCATCGTTGAGCGCCGCTGGAAGTCAGACTTTGTGTAAGCATTCGCCTGCATTAAATATTAATACCTAAGTATTTAGGTAGTACATAAAATAAACATCTCGTAGGATACAAGCACTGACATTTTCTTGTTTCCAATTACAGTGGATGAAGCAGACGGCGGGGAAGATCCTGAGCTGGATGATTTTGATCGTTTGCGTAGCATTCGAGAACAACATCGACGGGAGAAATATCTCCAGAAATTAATGGCACGTTCTATAAGCGCTCAACAGGTAACTATTATACGACATTAATATGTCGTACTTACTGCAATCAGTAAAATAGTGTTTGGTTACCAGCCTTGAGCTCATTCCTTCTTCACGTGAGGACAAACCTCATCATGAATGATGATGCATATTTTGCTTGTTACCCATGTTAATTTGTGCTCAAACTATTGTTTCGCGTTTTTGGTAATGGTTAGTCAGGTGACTATTGATTGATATGACGATGACTACATTCATGAGCAGTAATAAATATGTACTAGGTGCTACATTTATAGTAATTAAACCCAGCTCTCTCTAGAGGCCGTCAATATAAATGATAGTTTCAACCGAATTCATGGTATCTTCAGAAGTTCAGTTACTTATAAAACAATTTCAAATGCTACTGTATAGCATAATAATAATTGTATTAGGTGTATCTGCATAACTTTGTCAAAGTAACAGCTAACATGACTTACATTATTTATTATGATTATTTTTATATTTCGGTTACAAATAAAATTATTTACAGAGAACGGGTAGCACGGAGTTGATGGATAATGATCTTCTGCTAGAAGATCTTCTCTCTCAATCAGCAGCAGCTCAGAAAAAAGAAGAGAAATCAAAGAATGATCCCAAAGACAACGCCACTTGACACAGTAGAAGCTTTATATTCCCATGGGAAGGCGCAGATTTCTGAACAATTTAGCGCGGTTCAGTATTAGCAAATTGTGATAAATTAATTTTTTATTGGTGCATTGGATTTGATATTAAAAGTTGTAAATATAAATCATTTTCGCCATATTCATTTGTTTTTATGTGCAAATTACGATATTACAGGCGATGTTGAAGTTAAGTTTATACCTTAGTTATTTGTATACGGCGCGTCGCGTTCCGCGCGTGCCTCAAAGAGCCATCAGGCCATCACGGATGGGGCCCAATAGCGTGTGATGCCGATACGGAGCCGCGGAGAACCTAACGGGTTACCGGCTCGAAGTGCATTAGGTAGGAACGGGGGGTTTTTAGTCAGTAAGAGTCTGACACTCCCTCCCGCCTCACCCAGGCGGGAGGCCATTCGATGAATTTGCCCCCTTTATGCTTTTTTCGATTTCCATTTTGCACCCTTGTACGCGCGCCGCTCGTGCCACCATCTTGAAAAAATGGCGGCCAAAAACAGTTTGTACAATATCTCTTCCTGTGCATTTTACGAGAAAATTGTTAACTACAAATTTTTTACTACACAATTTTCTACAATTTTATTCATGTCTAGAAAGCTTTTTTGTAACATACTAGTTTTGGCGCCAGAGCACCGTAAAATACATTTTTATTTTTATGGGAATGGATTGCTATGGGAAAGCATTGTTATGGGAAAAAATTATTTTCCACACCACGTGAAAGCAAGCGTTTTTTTTTATAGTGATGTCGTACACAATTTAGGAACTTGCCATAACCTCCGGCCGTTAGCCATTTCTGATGAACCGCACATAGGAGATTAGACCGATTGAGACACGGTAAACTTTTCATCTCCGACTTTGATTTGGTTGGCTAAAGCTAGATTTTTATAGTGATCTAGTTATTTTTTAATACCTTTATTTTATTCCAAAATAAAAAATACGGTGAATTCCTCTTTATGATCTTATTACTGCCAGACTCGATAGGATACCACATAATTATAATTTTAAGTTATAAAATAGTATTGCCTTATCTAGTTTAAGAGCTAGAGCTAGACAGTCATAGCTTAAAAGTATGTAATTTCTATTTAACCTGGCACTTCAGTGTTTTATTTTGAGGAAACCATTAAATAGGCAATGTAAAAATAAAAACAACAAATTAGATGGTGAAGGGAATTTTTATTTAGCTTAACTGTGTAACTACTTCAGCTCCAGCTTACAACTTGAGCTTAGTCCTCCTCCAGTGACGCCTCTTAGCGTTGTATCTGTGAAGAAAAATAATAACTCATAAATAAAAAGAAATTGCAATATAGGATAATTTTAGTAAATTCTTAACACTATCACAGCGGATCTCAACTCTGCATTCATATTTTTCGTGAATTACGAGTAGCACTCGTGATCGCCTTTCATATTATTTATTACAAAACACGACGTGTTATCGAGATCAAGAAAGGTTGGATAATGGTGAGGTTAAGGCGCAGAAGAACGTTCCTGAGCCAGTCACAACCTACGAGCGAAGGTGTAGTCGCGAGCGCATACAGAGAGGCTCGGCGCGAGCGTCATAGCGCGGTCGCAGTGCTCTCAACTGCGCGTGGCCGGTCTTCGCATTTGCGAGAAATGGATGGACGTATGTGCCAAGAGAACGTCCATTGGAAGACTGTTTTTGAAGAGATAACTCGTGGTTCCTCCCATAGACGAAAATTCATCGGAAATGGGATTGTTTTTCAATAATGATTTTTGAATGCTCCTGAAGACGGACAAACCGATATTCAGAGCAAATAAAGGCTAAACTGGCAAGATGGGGACTGCTGAAACCGAGGAGTATGCTAGATAAGTGGAAATCTGTTACGTTGGAAGCGCTGAAACTTTTTTCGGAATGAAAATTTATTTTATTATGGGTTACATTTTAAAATTAAATATGGTTCCATGCATAGGTGACCCCAAAGCCTAAGGATATGTGCCTCCTTTATAAATTGACAAAATGACAATTTTAATTACTTTCATTAAATGAACATAAATAATATAATTTGTTTCTATTATTAACTTTACATAGCACTCTAAACACTCCCAATTGCCTGTTGAAAATCATCCCCCAAATTTGTTCATACAAAGTAGTCTCTTAACATTAGAAAAAAGGTCTATAATGTAGTTAGTAGAGAGCGGTCACCGCTTGGGGATATATGGGTTAAAGTGCTAATCTAATGGTAAAATTGCAAAAAGATGATGAAAACAAAATGCATTTGTAATTTCATAATATGAAATTACAAAATATTATCATTTGCAACTATAGTTCAATGCTACAACGATATCAATTTCTCATCATGTTGCAACACCCCAGCAGAGTTAAGAAAGCATGGGTTCATACAACAGATGAAATATCATATCGAGGGGTAACGGACTATTTGGTTTAAGCGACATTTTGGGCGATTTTGAGTTATTACATATATTCGACGGAGAAAGATTCGCTGATTCCGAATATATATATAACTCAAAATCACCCAAAATGTCGCTTAAACCAAATAGTCCGTTACCCCTCGATATGATAACTTCTATTTCTTTTCATAATATCTTATCGAGAGTTAAACATCTGTTTGTTTACAAAAAATCCATGCATGTGCATTTTAGTAACTAAAATAACATTATTCTCAACTGTGGGAATTAGTGCCGTATTTCGGTAAACTGGTAATGTAAAATGGTAATTTATAGGTAAATTACACAGGACAACACAATTTTAGTAACAGCTGAACCAACAGCTAGTTATTGAACAACTATACTAATTATTATAATTATATCAGGGATGTATTTTCTAACATGTATATTGCATTGATATTTCTTCAGTAATGAAATGAGACCCATAAGGATATTCACTCACTAGAGAGTAGTTTTAAATGAACTGAATGACACGAAAACTGAATGGCACATGCAAGATGCAGTGATAAATTAATAATTAGTGGTATTTTGTCACAATGCAACATTATTCAATTAAAGTTACACATAAATCTTGGAGTAAAAGGTGGGTCTTCTTAGGAAATTTTGTAGCATAGATTTTGGTGTACTATATTTTATGGACTTTTTTCCCCAGGTCAAAAATTCATAGCTAACAGGTAAGTACGTACTCTAGAAGTATTAAATGAAGCAAAGTAAAATAACAGAATTATCGTTGTGATATTGTTATTACAATATTATGATAGAAATAAGAAAGCAGACACTAAACTTACCTAATTGTATTCCCTGTGCGCATTCTGACCCATTGTGGGATAGGCCTGTTTTGTTTCAGCTTTTTAGCAAGCTTGCGCTTGATAATAAATGTCTTGTGTGCCGACTGAAATATAAAGAATTAAATTGGTTAGTACAAAAATACTTTCTGATTGATGATTTCTAAAATATTTAAAGATTTTATATACAATAGTCACACACCATTTTGCCGATCACAGTTGACAAAACAAAGTGACAGAGTTTGCGTCAAATTTCAACGAGTACAGATTTTAATGTTTTAAAGCATACAACCAGCCGGAGTATGTGTCTTTTAGCTAACCTCAGCATAAAGCAGAGGAAAAACAAATTAATGTGTATTTCATTTATGGTTTTTAGGCATCTAAGCATAGAGTAAACAGAATGGCTTAGGTTAGCATTCAAAAATGAAAGAAGTATAGCGCAGGTTTATATATTTTATTTATTTATTTAAGCTTTATTGTACACATTTAAGTAGTTTAAAAACAAAAAATTCAAGTAAAGATGCGTACAATGGGCGGTCTTATCACATAATGGTGATTTCTTCCAGACAACCTTTGAATGGAAATATTAATTATAAGAAACCAGATAAGGGGTAGTTAAGTGTACAATAAAAAAAAATGCCAATATACAAATACCTACAATACAACCTACTAAATATATTGCTAGTATTTATCTAATATATAATATGTAATATATAAAAAAAATACATAAATAATATATAAAAATACAATGCTATGTGTGTGTGTGTGTGTGTGTGTGTATGTGTGTGTGTGTGTGTTTGTGTGTGTGTGTGTGTGGGTATTTGTATGCGTATGTATGTACAATTTAATGAAAGAAGAAACAGAAGCTCATAATGTGAGAAAGTGCTCCTTCACAAGGTGTTTATACTGACGCAAAGTTTGGGCACGCCTCACCTCGATAGGCAATTCTTTCCACAATCGAGCCGCTTGAACAGTATAAGATTTATCGAAGGAAGAATAGGAATTTATTTATTTATTCCACTTACATTTATCTTTACAGGTTAATGCTCAATGCGATAAATGTGCTCATCTTAATATCTATTGTATAGGTATACTTAATTTAAAATTCACCGACGATCACAGAGACCTCGAATGTGTGTCACCGAGAAACTGAAAACGCTCTTTTAAGTAAAATGGGGTAGAAGGATTGAAAATAATATTATACAGTAAGAAAAGGATATGAGAGTTCCGGCGAAATCGAATAGGAAGCCATTTGAGCTTATTACGGAATTCAGTGACATGATCATATGCGAAGAACAAATATGAATCTTATGGAAAGATTTTGCAGTCGCTCAAGCTTATCTAATTGTTCCTGTGACAGATCAAGATACCTGACATCAGCACAGTCTAGATTAGGTAGAAGAAGAGATTGAGCAAGTGTAATTTTGGTAGCATTGGGCAAGAAATTATGAAACCGTCTGAGGGTCCCGCATCCCGCTGAAGCAAATAACTTGCGACTGACCATCTGCAACTGCTTTGTCCAAGAGAGAGAACTGTCCAAGAAGATCCCAAGGTTCTTAACTTCTCGGGAGAAAGGAATATTTGTATTTAAGAAAGAAACCTGAGGAAGATTTATCCAATCAATTTTGGAAACAGTACGCGCACTAATGATGACAGTCGCTGGCGTTTTGGATGGATTAATTAGCAGTCCAAACTTAGCGCTCCATTCGCTTCTACAAGTTATATCCCGATTAACAAAATCCCGATAAACAAAGCAATAGCTTACGGTTTAGTGCTACATATAGTTAGAATTGGTAAGCACGGAGAAAAATTCTTTTATAAAATACATTTATGAGACTGTCAGACGTATGGCACCCCCTCCTCCCCTTTCTAGGGTCGTACTACGTATGTTCTTTACCACTTTCCCGGCATCGTGTTGATTAATTTCAATCTTGGTTAAATTTTGGAATGTGGAGTGTGAATCTTGACCATAAAAAACACCAAAAATATCAATAGGGCATCTGAGTTTTAAAATAAAATTCTTACTGGCAACACTGTCAGTCTATCCTGTCATTGCTTCAAATCGACAAATGTCAATGTCATATCATATGCCATTGTCAGTGTCAGTGTCAGTGAGTTTAATGATCAATCTATTTGGTTTTGGTGTTCTTTTATTTATTGATTATTTTTATGGAAATCTTTGAAAAATACGAGATACGAGTAAACTTTAAAAAAACTTCTTTTTAGTTACTTTAGTATTTTAGAAACTAATTATCTCACAATGAATTACTTTAGCCTTAATAAATTGGTGACGACACTGGGTGTTCGAAGGTTTTTGGAGTTTCGAACGATGAAGACGAAAACAATAATCAATGCTGAAGGAAAAGATGTGATTAAAAAGAAAACTTATGAAAATAGAATAACGCTGATAAGTCCAGATAATTCTCTGAGTATTACAGACTTGAAAAATGCTCAGAATATATCCCTTAGACGCGATTTGAAACTTGTAAAAATTCAAGATATTGATTCGAAAACTAGACGACCTGTTTACAAGTAAGTACCTAGTTGCCAATCTAATTCCATATGTAATCACCAAAATAATATTTTAACATTTAAAACCTTTAATGAGTTTTCTAATACATACTTACCAAAAAATTAAATATACTTTCAGACTGATGACAAACTCAGAATATCATGCAGAAGAGCTTTCTAAAAGGAAAGAAAAGCAGATGGCTCGCCAGAATGCATCAATAAAAGGGGAGAAACTGTTAACTTTGTCATCAAGGATAGGAGAACATGACCTGATGACTGGTATAAAGAAGATGATGAAACTGGTAGAGAAACAATATGAAGTTAAAGTGGTTATTGCTGGGGAAGATGCCGAGGCAGCTATAAAATCTGTAAGGTTTTTTCTTTATCCTATTTTTTTTATGAGATAGGGGTGCACACTAGTAGATGGAACACCTGATAATAAGCAATTGACAAGACCCAACATTTGTCACACCAAGGGAGTTACAAGAGTATTTACCGTACTGAAGACTTGGTTACCAAAGAAAAAAAAAAAGTATAGACTAACTAACTTGATAAATGGTTATTATTGATATTTTGGGGCTGTTCCATATGATATTGTGAGTGTTAAGTGGCTTTTTATTTTGTCCTGATTTTTTATTTAATGTGACTTTATCATTTTGATCAAAATATTATGTTATTTGATGAGCAGATCAGCAATATTATGTTGTTTGATCAATACATATAAAAATATTTGTATTTTCAGGAAAAAATATACCAGACCATAGAGAACCAAGTGAGAAACATGAGCAAAATAGTGCAGAAGAGGGTCAAGGGAAACAGTTTAAGGTTTCAATTGTTACCTGTAAGGGGTAGTAGCACTGAAGGTACTGGCAACACAGACTCTAATCAAAATGACAATAATAACGGGCCACTATGACTAGGAGCACTCATCCTTGTTATAGTTGTCACAAAATATCTGTTGTTAAATAAATATTACTTTCAAAATATGGACTCTGAACCACATAAAAAGTCTAAGAAACTAGATTCAAATAGCAGTGGAACTAATAGCATTTGATGTTTGTATTTTCTTTTTTATTAAGTAATTTTTGTGTAATTTGTAATTATTTACAATACAGATCATGTATTTTATAGATTCAAAGTCAATTTAATTTGTTTTAGTAATAAAATTGACTGATAGTTTAAAATAGAAGAGGTTCTATTAATTAATGTAAATATGCCACATCCATACTTAGTGATTTGATCACTTGTGTATATAATTTTCTTCTTTTTAGTTTTAATGAAATAGTTTATGAAACATGAGATTGTAATGTAAATAATTGTGTTTAGATTTGTTGAAATGAAACACTTTATGTAAATAAATGACAATTTTAATACAGCATCCACCTAGTCAGTCAGTTCAGTCACAGTAGCAGCATGTTCAAGCATATGGCAAACCAGTCTGAGGGCTGATGCTCACTTGTTTCCTACTCTGTACACATTAGCCTCGGACAGATTTACCTGCTAATATACAAGTGTCCACTCTGAACATAGAACTACTTAAACTCTAAATACATACACTGTCTAACACAAGAAGATACATTCAACTAGTATGCTGACATAACTAAAATTCATAAATTAATGATTTATTTTTATCAGTTGGAGTTATCACAGATGTTTTAGAGATCGTTAATTCTTAAATGGTAGGAGATTTATTGGTAGCATATAGTACACATCTAAGACAATAATAAATTATTAAATGGATGGCTATTATGGCAAATGTCAATTTTTATTGCAACAAATAATTTAAGAATAGTCAATTTTCCTTTCTATTTGAACGCTCATACGCGTTTACGAATATCAGAATAAATCTAGAGAGCTAACTTTACTGCATAGGTACTATAATAATAACATCACTTAATTAACTATGGAGATACTCGGACAAAGAGAACGGAAAATTGGCGTATTGTCATAACATTGCTGGCACAAGAAAACAGATTTGTGAAGATTAAGCGTCACATTTACTAAACTACTGGATATGACAATATTTATATAATACAAAAATCTTGTAATAAACATTAGCAATTCGATTAAGTAGATTTGTAAAAACCTATTGAAGTACAGTATACTTTGTGATCTATTGCTTGGAATACATTAAAAAGTATACTTAAAGTGGAACACTTGATTGTCGACATAATAATGTCGTTCCTAATCTAATTGACACTGCGTAGGAAAGAATACTTAAAATATGAACGTTACATAATAATGAACACTAAAACATTGTACCTTACCACGTCGTCTTATTGTTGCGAGCGATATGAACTCAGTCCTCACGAGTTGTAGATGTCGTCGTCAACGGTTGGTGACAACCGTGAGGTTTTATTGTGCGTAGACGACGTACGCGTATTGGTCTCGGCTGGCCGTCGAGAAGTCAGTGTTGAGTGTCCGGCCCCACGTGATTAGAGGCGATACGGTGCCCACCACGGGAGCAGCGCGTGCTACATTTCTTTTGGGGTCCAGGTCCAGGTCCTGTAACAATATAAACTCGAGTTTAGGATACCTAGGGCTTGAAGAACATTTAATTACTTGACCTAGTTGACTACATAATTATTTAGTGCAATAACTGCAGTGGTAGACGTTTCAGCTGCTGTAGGTACAACGTCATTGATTGAGGTCTAGCACGGAGCTACATTGTCTGATCGCTCACTACATATCGCTCCGCGTCTGGGCTTGTTTGAGTTTGTAAAATGGCCATCAATCAGACCATAACCTTAATTTTTTTAAAGTATTTTAATTAAGGTATTGTAAAACAATGTTTGAACTTAAATCAGTCATTTAGCCACTGCATTAAAAGTTTGTTCTGATCTTATAGTTAATAGGCAATTATTGAATGTACGTTTATCTCTATATTTTAGAAATTAATTATAAGTTTGCGTTGTGGGGCTCATAGTCAGCGTATTTTGCGTTTTTCGCGCAATGTTATTTATGACTATGAACCCCTTGTGTGGCTTGAAACTAGTCGAGTTATCTGGTTAAACTGTTACGTGACTTACGCCCAAATAATGAAAGGCTACTCAATTTTCAGGTGTACTTAATTGTCGTGCTAACACTGTCATTTTACAAAGAAATTGTAGTGACAGAACTGGCGTTTGAGTATTTGGACGTAAGCTGTAAACATAATTAATTTAATGTCTCAGGAGAGTATTACTAAAATGGTAGATCTAGGTACTGCGGATACCCACATACGTAACTCTAATAACAAAATGGTCACCATAAATAAGATTAAATCTATTTCCATTCCAATGTATAAATGATCTACAAGCATGACATGGCAACAGTTTACCAAACAATAACTTTAAAATTATTAATTACGAAATTATTCGAGCAGCATAATTTATTTTGATAATGTTTGGCGCTGAGCTTGTCGTACTCGTTGATCTTTACGTGCAAAGAATTTTAACACCACATAGGCAATACCTTGTTAATGATTCATTATGTAGCAATGATTTATAATTATGGCATACCCAAGTAGCATTCTCAGTTAATGGTAGAGTAACAAGCGAGATCATTTCAGTCCATTATAAGATTATAACCACATGAACCGCTCAGAATGATGATGAAATTAAATCAATTAAAATATTGCAGTTAGTTACTGATCGATTAGTGAACATGCTGGAAGCATTAATATGAGGGTTAGTTACTCACTGCTTTCATATTCTCTTTGTATTACGGATGTTTTTTCTGTTTATTGAAAGCTCAAAAAAGGTTTGGATAAGGAAATTTCCAGCGACACGTCTTTTTGCTATAATATAGGTAAGCTTACTTGGTTGTTTATTTTTTTTTATTATGCTTTATTTACATGTTGTGATCATGTAAAAATAGATAACATTTTATAGTAGAGATTGCATTAGTTTTTCTTATTTAATATGTGAATTGTAATTAAGAGAATAAGTGAGCAGCGAAGGACAGACACACCATGTTACCCATGAGAGAGGATCGCCGTCGGCCCGAGCGCCGCTTGCGCCGGCACCAACAACGGCGGCCCCGAGCTCGTGCGCGCCCGTACCCGCGGCTCCGCGTGCGGCCCCGCGCCCCCGCCGCGCGCCCCGCTAACCCAGCGCTGCCTACCGACGCTGGTGTTGCAGTCACGGTCGACACAACTCTCGTCACTGACACCCCCTGCTCCGCTGATCTATCTGCTATGATGTGAGCTTCCGTGTCTTCCAATGGCGACTCCGAACTGTTGATAATACAATCGTAAGTAACTAATTCTGTTTTTTGTAGTTAGCATTCGTCAATATCGATCAGTAATAAAACTTGAAATTACATCATGATCTTTGATGATATGATGATTGAACGCATAGAAATCGTTCACGAGTTACGATGCCACAGACAGACTAAACAGATAGAAACGTTAAAGTTAATACTGGGACTTAAAATACTTGATATAAACTTACTTGGTACTAATGGAGCAGTATTCACTGAGCTGTCCCCACGTACAACCATTATTACAACATTCATCAGCTATGCCATTCTCCACTTGCCGTCTTCTTCTGACTACAGAGCCAGGTTGTTCCACTACTGAAAATATTAAAAAAAATATTTAATTTAAACTGCAAGTAAAAAAAGAATTTGTATAGGGAAAAATGAAACGAGAAGACGTTGGAGTTTGGTCAGTAAGTAGCCTAGGTCCAACACAGAGCCGCGGAGAACCTAACGGGTTACTGGGGCTCCGGCTCGAAGTGCAGAAGTAGGAACGGGGTGGTTTTTAGTCAGTATGAGTCTGACACTCTCTCTCTCCCTGACCCGGGCGGGAGAAGTCATTGTAGATTTTCTCCCTCAAAAAAAAGCCTAGCTCCAACAGATGTAATAATTAAGAAAAAATGGCTTATTAATTATATACCGTTATCTGGTCTATCTTGTCTAGAAATTAACACAGATACTTTTTTAATACTAAGTTTAGAATAAGAGAGTCCAAAGCCTAGACTCTGGACTCTTTAGAGTTCTTAATGATGAAGTACGAGATCATGTAGAAAAAATTCAGTACAATAGATAAATTAATGAGAATTGAAAATGAATTACGTAAAGTTCATGTTCATTACAGTGTACGTAATATTTTTATATTTTAGATTTAATTATAAGTGACCTTTCATAATTTGTTATTGAATAAGTTGTAAGTTGTAAGCAATTGCGATAAAATCTGTTGCTTTCCGGATATCGTACTTAGGCTGTGTGTATAAGGTCATTATTATTGTTTAACGAGTTTAATAACTTATTATTTTTGTTAAATAATATTAATGTTTAAGTACAATAGTAACACGAGTATTGGGCAGTAAGATTGCTTGTTTTGATAGTTTTTTTTTTTATATTAGGCGTGGTCACTCAATGGCATTCGTTTTGTGATAAGATAGAAATAAATATTTTTATTCATAATTTACGCTACCAAAGCTTGTTGTTTGTGTGTAGTACGAGTGAATTTCCATTTTTTGTTCTGCAGTGTAGCGATTTGTATGGTTATTTATCAGAAGTAGACGTGTTTAATTCACAAGTTATAAGTTTAGTTAGGAGGTGAAGTAGGTACAAAAATATTATAGAGTAGGTAGGTACATACCTGTAGGTGTGTCCCAAGGACTGTTGTAAGCGTGGCAGACTCTGCTCATGATCTCGCTGAGTTGTCTACCGCAGAACTTTACCACGGGCGAGGTGGCTGCTTCTGTTCTGCTTTTTAGTAGCACTGCGGCCGCCAACATGGCCAACTGAAGAGCTTTGTTCAATAACATATTTACTAATCTGGAAAAAAATTAATATAACTTTAAGATGACTATCCTCAAGTCTAACCCAACATCGGAGAGTGAATGTGTAATTCGAGCAGGCTTTCTCCTTTTATATATCGTGGGGTAAACATGTAACTTGACACCAGCACCGCCCATTTGATACCAGATATGTATCCCTCAATACTTTTCATTTCCTAAGTGCATTACTAACTGACTCCGCGTGAAATGCACATTTATCAATCCACATTAGGAAATAATAAATAGATTGAAGGTGCGATAGCTCGGCACTCGCAAATGTTACGTGAAATTAATAAGTGCTATGTTTGTATAGACGCGTGGTAAAGTTCAAATCGTTATTTATATACCTACATAATTATAGGTTTAATAACAATTAATTAATTTCACGATGTTTACTAATGATGTAGTTAAATTATCGTTATTATCTTTTTTCATTCTGGACTTCTCAACCTAGGTACTTATACAAGTGAGTTTATGTAAGCATCATGTGAATTTTCAATGTTCATGTAAGTACATAAGTATGTAATTTTAATTTGGTAACTGATAATCACAATGTCACAGATGTTGAACTATACTCAATTGCACAAAAAAACGCATAGCCGGTACGCTCGTTTTTCAGTAAATGTAGGTATTGCTGAAAGGCTCACGCACGGGACTGACTAATTAGGTTTGCTTATGTAAAATGACAATGAATTCAATCAAACATTTCGGCGATACAGTCATGTTATAAATTGCTGGACAGTGTGCGTATTGGTGTAGGTCTTTAACGGCAATACAAAATATTTTGCTTGTGCATTCAGCATTGAAACAAAACCGAGTAATGGTGATGATTTCACTTCACCTTCCCCGTTCATAAAAATGCAAATCAGCGACTTCCTCTTATAAATTGCCGTTCCGAGAGTAATCCAGGGTGGGTGCCACATTACGCCGCTTTGTCCTCATCGTAGTGTAATGAATGTTTGTACATATAACGCATCGAGGACAAGTTCTATTTATAGCGGCTTAGAGGCTGGTACTTGCGTACTGGCAACGTGAGAGTTAAGCACGGTGTGCCACCTACCCAGTCGGTATTAGTAGACGGAGTGCAACCACTTAACCAAATCTACATACGTGTGCACTAGTAGAGCATGTACCAGCTACTCACACACGTGAGATGCTTACTCGGCTACGTTCATCTGCACTCAATTGCTCTCCATATCTGTTTGTGGCGATACCAAAGTAGAACGCTCGACGTAAATAAAAATGCATTGAGAACTGCATTCTTTCTGATATCAAAATATACGTAAACCCAATGAGTTTCTTCATAATATGAAATTAATTTAAGTATGTAACGCATTATAATAAAAAGGATATTAGAGATAAATAAATCTTACGAACTACGTAGGTTCTGGCAACATAAAGGGTGATACTGTTGTGGTCTCCGCCGCTGCACTTAAACTTCTTTCAATTTGTGATTAAGGATCAGACAATGTAACGACATGATAGTTGTTTAGAACACAATACTCGGCGGCTGTCGTCGGTCACTCGTAGGGCGCGTGCACCGTGCGCCCGCGCCGCCGCGCCGCGATCGACCGCGAGCCCAGCACGTCGCGCGTCGCCGCGGACCGCACGACGAGCCTCGTGCTCGCGCACTCGATTGAATAATTACGTGAATCTCTGATTGTATCGGTAGCCTTGCTCCTGCTTTAATGTTGTTCTATAACTGGCCATTTTTGCTGACGCGCCGTTAGCCTGTTACTATTGAGTCACTCGTTAGAGCTCAGTAGGGTTCGAATTGTCACAACTGAAGATTCATTTGTCTGAATTAATTTATCGAGCGTTAGACATTGCGCTTGGCGTTGCTTTATCGTCGAGTTTGAGATACAAAGGTTGTGAACTAGGTAAGGTCATGTATGTATATAAAAGAGAGATTGGATTAGTTAACTAAGCAAAATTATGTTTATTCTAGAGGTATTTGTTAATTAAATAATTATGATACTTATTTCCTTAAAACAAGTAATAAATTATATAGTAATAGCAACTGTAATAAAGTAACCAAAGGTACCTAATTAAACAAAGAGTTGTCATGTGAAAGTCATTCTTTTAGACGCCTTACTAAGATGATACTTCAGTTGTCTTTTTTTTAGCATTTGTGTTTTTAGCTTTGTCCTTCGTTCAAAGACCAGGGTATTGACACGAAGAAACACTCTTCCTAGGTCATCCATGAAAATTCGTATAAGGGCTTAGGGGAAATAAAAAATGTCAAATCCTCTGCCTGTCTGTCGTGTACAACATACCAAGTTTAAAAGACCAGTAAATAGGTTGTCTAAAAGACAAATAACACAGCATGGATTTGCGCTCAAAACAATAAAATGTTTAAACATTTGTTTGCAATATTTAGTAACTATATTTATATTTAGTAATAAGTATGTAGATAAAGTATTTTTAATCAAACTAGGCCAACTTGTATGAATGGATCTCTCCATTTCATTCATACAAAAGGCGCAGAATAGGTCTTTGACCGGTTTTCTTTCAAATTAACTGAGAACGATTGGAAATTACGATGGCTATGGACAGTCAAAAGTTATTAAAATTTTATTGTAGACATAAACTCGAGGTGCAGTATCTAGTAATCGCTAAGCATTTGAAAGTAACGATTTGCGGTATTATTGGTCATAATTATTAGAATCGTGTTTTCCAAATGAAACTCCATAAATGTTTCCTCTTATATCCTCCCAATAATTCCAATCTTAAACAGTTATTAGGTAAATAGATATACATTTTAAATCTAACTAATTGCCTACTTAACTGTGTACTAATAAGGTCTACCGCCCTAGTTACGCTTAGAAAGTCCCTAATCATCCATTTATGGAAGGAAAACACCAGAAGCATCTGGTGCAGGTATTAGTTTTTTTTTTACATTGTAAACATCTCTAGTTTCGGTCTCTTAGCAACAAGACACGGTAGACGCTGCCACATGGCGGCAGACGATAGGTAACAAAAGATAATTTAAGAGTTTGCGGGGTCAAGTGTATTGTCGGCTTGCCCAATTGGTGAGTCGAGTCGGTCACTGGCTTTACACCGAACCGGACACCTTTTCATAGACTATAAACACCAACGACGTGCTGTTATTTTATTTATTTCCATTAGGATTACCTAACGATATCTAATATAATAGTATAGCCTATGAGCAGTAAACTTTAAGAACATGAATGCGGTGTAAATTATAGGTTTGGCAAGTAATTGTAGTTAATTCAGCTAAGTAGGCTGGAAGTACTTTACGTATTATGTAAATTGCGTAGACCTATTAGTATAGAATTTTCAACGCATTGAGTAAAGCGGCTCGTATTTTTCAATGTTTACGGCATATCGGTGCATCGATCGTAGCCGTGCTCTGACAACTTCAGTCACGTTCCACCACAATATAATTACAATGATTGCCCGCAGCCATTGTACTCGCAGCTACACACGTCGGTACCTAATGGTAGTAGCGTCGTACAAGAGTCATTAGATGGGGTGGCGTAGTGTGTAGTGTGTACACATGACAAGATCTGTAGTGACCGCTTTCGACCTCAATTTAAACGTTGACCTGGTAAAGTTCAAACACCTAGGTAGCCGAAGCAAATACACTTTCATACAACAATACATTTGTCGGTAGCCATCTTTGTTTGTATGAATTTGATCTTGATACTGAACTATACGTAATCGATTAATCGGACGTTCCTGTTTAAACATTTCACAAATTTCTATACTCCTAAAGGGATAGATCGTAAAAACTGAGTTATGTGTCTGAGCGGCGGCCGTGGGCGACGGACAGCAGTAAAAACCCTGGCGGTAAACGTGAAACTCGCTGGATTCGTCCACTTCTTAGAATTCCTATAGCGAATGGTTTCTAATTGTAACTACCTTACGACTTGCGAGGCGAGATGTACAAGCATGTAATTAAAACGGTACGTTTCAGAGTTATCGTTATGCTGAGATAAAGTTTTAATAGAATCCGCATCGCGTGTGTGTACATAAAACTTTAGCTTTTATTAATTAACCAGACATTAAATTAATTATTCAAACAAAACTTGACTGATGTTTATTAGTTACTTACTACATTTATGATACCGTATCAGGTTTTTTTATAACAATGCTAAATTGGTAGGATTTAAGATAATAGAAAAATTCCAGGTCCAAGTTACGATAATTATATTATACATAATTATTTATCTATTTAGTTGTTGTCTGAAGTATTTGTGTAGATATACGAAATGTGTGAATGAACTCTTCTTTTGCTTTCTGCGCTAAATATAATATGGTTAAGTTGGCTACAACAAATCTGAAGATAAACACAAAGATAGCAATATCTGCAAACATAATGAATGAATGAAAACGTAATAAATCCAGTCTTGGGTATTAAAGGAGCGGAAACTTGAGTAAATAAGATTGAGCATTTGCTGATCCAATTCAATTCTAAGATACCATGCAATTTGAGACGTTGCGCCGTCCTTAAATATTTGGGGGGCATACAGGTGCTGATGCGGATTGTACTACGAAATGATAAAAGATTATAAGTACCTGTGTACCTACTATTATATAATGTACCTGTACTAAGGTGCGAAAGATATGCAATGTTATTACAATGGGCTGAATGAACTAGAATAATCGTGGTACTCTAACATCCTCATATAGGTAATGTTAGTTAATACAAATCAGATAATAATTGTTACGTATGATGTGTGTTCGTGGTATTAAAGCCATAATCCTTTCATATTCAATTGCTAACGTTATTTATGTTTGTACATTTGTTATAGGTAAGTACATGAATTTGGATAGTATTTATAATAAATCAACTTTGCTCAAGTGCTCGATAGAAATTACATGATGATGATAACAATAACATAAATATATAGAAAGAAGTGCATACTCATAGTGTGAACACTTTCTGACTTTAATTACAAAAATAAGGAATGTATTTGTGTAACATAATTATAATGTATACGACGTACCTAATTCATTAAGGATAGATATCACAATTTATATAAAAAGTAAAAAAGAGCAATTAAATATTTCAAAACTTCACGCTTAGGTAGATATAACAAGTTGCAATAAATGTACATATATCCGCAATATCTATAAAATATTGTTTGATGCATGCGTTACGATGCTAACTTGTTCTAAGTCTAGTTTTCTAAATATATCTTACCGACATAATATAAATATTAATATTCATTAATATAATATTAGGTACATGCGGGTATTAAGGCCTGTCGGCTAATAAGGCCTAAACTTTAAAAATCTTACTTAGAATACGATTTCGCACTTAAGGTCACGTACAGACATGTATATTACACTTACAAGGCGCCACCAGGCGGCAAGTGTTGGCTATGTCACTCGCTTTTGCTAATGGTGTGTTAAACGTAATCAAGAGTAGCCGCACGACACGTTTTTACAAATATTGGCTCCGGTAAAACGTAAGTATTTCTTAAATTATTACACTTATCTCCTTGCACTGACTGTCTATATTATCGTTAACTTATGCTCGTCTCACAATGCCTTATTCATTAACGTTCTACATTCCAAATTGTATTTATTTCGTTTTCCATAAATACCTAACCAATGTGTAATAAGGCCTGTAAAATTTTGTAGTAGGCCTTATTATACTTATAGATATAGATTATTTAATGTTTGCACTATTTTCAAATTATTTCAGTAAATCATACATTGTTCACGGTTCCTATGTACGGTCTACTCCTTTTGCGAAGCCGTCATGCTAGCTAAAGAGAAGGCGGGGCGCATGAGGCAGCGAACCGCTGCCTCCTCACAGCCCAGCCGCCGCGAAGGACACTCCGGGCGTCGAGGATCGCAGGACGATCTCCGGCCACCGTAAGCACGGGCCAGCGGACGGCTAGCATGGGTAGCTCGTCGCCCGACCAGAGCCAGACCTGAGCGTACGGCGCTTCGCGTTCCGACGCGCCTCATAGAGCCATCCGACCACCACAGATGGGGCCCAATAGGGCTGATGCCGATACGGAGTCGCGGAGAACCTAACGGGTAACCGGGGCTCCGGCTCGACGTGCAGGAGAAGGAATAGAGGGTATAGTTTTTAGAAGAGTCTGACACTCCCTCCCGGCTTACCGAGGCGGGAAAGACATTCGATGATTTTCCCCCCTTAAAAAAATGCCCTGGTGGTTGATAGATGAGGCTACTCATTTAATTTTTGATGGTAAAGTGTAATTCTGCCCTTGACTGGATGATGATTGATCTCAAGTACCAAATTATGTTGTTTTAATTGATTAATTGCATAGTATAAGAAGCAGGCCTTGTTACCCTACCTAATTATAATAAGGCCTATTACGAGTGTTTTAAAAAATGATTAATTTTGTTAAGGTTTCATGTAGAACTTGCAATTTTTTGTATTAATTTGGTAGTTGGATAAATAAACTACTGATTACCTAATAAAACTTGTTGATTCTATTATCAGTATTTATTTTACAACAAATTTCCCTTAGCTAGGCCTTAATACCCTCATGTACCTTTTATGATGAAAGGAATGATTGGATAAATAAATAACAAAGGAAATTATATGCGGCTGTATAAAAGAAACTTTGTATGTTTAGTGCTTATAAACTTTCATGATATAGACATTGGCAGTTATTAACAGTCTTATTAACAATGTAAGTTTTATTAACATTATCGACTAAAAATTGTATCCACTAAAACTTCAAAGCCGCCAAGTTAAATTAACACACTGTAAGGGAAGAGTATTTTATGTTACGGTTTAGTGTAAACTAAATATAAAACAATGGCTTACTTTGTAAGGTAGATCCTATGCGGTGAGCTCCTGAGAGTGTTCTGTTTTTGTTTACAGAGTAGAGTAGTATTGTGTCACGTTTACGGCGTGGTCGGTGGCGCCGGGATCGCTTGCCGCGGTAACTGGTGCGAGGTGCGAGAAGGTCGCAGAGTGCACTACGCGCGTCGTGCACCGGCGCCGCTGTGGTCGCGCTAGCGAGTCGCCGCGTGCGCCGCGCGCGCTTATTATACGCAGACGGTGATGGGCGGCGCGCGCGCACCCGCCACGCCCCGCGCCACGCCGCGCTCCGCCCGCCCGCGCACAACTCACCCCTGATTCCGCTATAAAACATTTATGACCTCTCTCTAAAGTGATGACTTCAAGTCATTGACCAAGTGCAAGCATCTTGTTTGATGGTTATGTACCCGAGCCCTGCCTTGTTTTCGTTTGATGCTAAATTAGAACACTGCATTGTGTGAATGCTTACGATTGTAGCATTTCACAAGAGTAACAGTACCTACCGTACCGTCAGACATGTAGAGAGTTCGTTTGTTTACCTTTTTTTTCAAAGACTGACTTCAATATTTCTATAACATTTTATGTTTATTTGGGTAAGCGTTATCCTGAAAGTCAAATTACTTCTGCAATGGCACGTAGATGTAGAGTAGTTACCTAATGCACATTAATCCCGAACGTGATTTTTTCTGAGAGCACTACAATCAACAACGGTCAGACAGGAAATACACTGTGTTTACGAGTTACGGCTATCTCGTACTCGACGTTCAAGAGCACGTGATTATTGTTTATTTTTGTGTAAGTACTGACTACTTTATTTATTAATGATCCTATCTTCTGTAAGTAGGTAGGTATATACGAAGAAGGTGTGTCTACTTAAAAAGTTTACCTACTTTGTTTACCAGTGATAATATTTTTTCATTAAAAACTAAAAACCAACATATTATCCTGCCCATAATTAGCGAAACGGTTATCAAAGTCATCATTATCGTATTTAGTGAAATATCTAACCAGCTGTCTTATCTGATGAAGATGAGGATACGCCTGTGACCTCAACTTACAAATGGAATTTGCACCCTGTGTATCTTTGTGATGTTTTGCATGGACAGTCTTTCACGAGGCTGACGCATACAATCATTGTTATTGATTTACGGGTTACGGGTTCACTTGACAACTACAATATTTACTAACTCATATCTCAGATTACAGACCTTTTTCTTAAATTCTGACCACACTTAAGTATTTGAACTTTATAAAGGGAAAGGCAACCTGCTTTTATTCATCAGTTCCGTAACGGCCATAAATACACTTAAAAAAATAAAACCGATCCTAATACAAAATATCTGGATCGATTGCTGTCAAGATTTAAATCGTAGGTATCTTAGTAGGAACTTAGGTAACTGTTCGCGAAAACTGAATGTTAGTGAACGAGTTTTCTATGTCAATAGACGAATACATTTAAGTGGGTAGCAGAAATGGCAGCAATATTTAGTAGCAAGGCGAATATAGGCTGAGGTATAAGGTACTTATAGTACACTGCAATAGTTGTTTAGAAAGCAATACTTTTTTTTTAAGGGGGAAAATCATCGAATTACTGCTCCCGCCTGGGTGAGGCGGGAGGGAGTGTCAGACTCTTACTGACTAAAAACAACCCCGTTCCTTCTCCTGCACGTCGAGCCGGAGCCCCGGTTACCCGTTAGGTTCTCCGCGACAGAAAGCAATACTTACTTATGTTCACCAAAGGAAATGTTTTGTCAATCGTGGAGTCCTGAGAAAATCTGACTTTTGTGTAACTTGAAGGTTACATAGTGTTCAAAATAACCAGCTATACCTACAAGACTAGAGCTGAAATCTTAGGTCACGAGTTCTAAGAAACGTCATGTTATAGAGCAGTATTGAAAAAAAAAACAAGTTAACAAATTGACTGATTTTTTTATGAGATAATCCGGTAAACGAGCAATTGAAGAAATTGTGAAGGATTTTTTCGTTATATTCAACTTGTTAGTAGTCATAGACAGGGAATAACATAACAAATTAAGCACTATCGAATTTGTTAAAACCATGAACATTCTCTTACATCTCCAGGAATTATGTCATTAGATTAACGTAATGAAAGGCAGAGTCTACTGCCAATGTCACCAGCTTATCTATAAAAGGTACAATCATTGAAACAGTGATTAAAGCCGTTATTAGTAAACAAGAGTATGATTCAAGGGTGTGTGCAGTGTGGGTAAATAGTGGAATATCCTGCCAATGCGGAGGTTCATTGACAGCCGAGTTTACTACACGCGACTACTATAACGAGTCACTGACTTCTACCATACTACTTATTATAATTATATCGGATTCTTTCCAGTAAATCGCCGCGCTCAATATAGCGGGCTATTTACAAACAAGGTGACAATTATTGACAGCCAGACTACACTACATGTGCTAATAAGAATTAATTGCAGTGAAATTATGTCGCACCTCGTGTCATAAATGATGGAATGCCAATCTGAACTATTGTCAAGTGTTAATTTATTCTGTTAACAAATCATTAATTAAGTATGAATAAACATGTTAAATTAAGTGTTTGTGTCGAACCGAGATTAATCTGGTTTCTAAACTTGATAAAAGGGTCAATATCATCTCTTGTAGATACGTACATAATTCCCTTTTTGATGTAACAGTTACCTTACAGGTACCTACTTTTTCAATTTTTGTGATCATTTTGTGGATACCTATTACATACCTATAAAGTGACGAAAAATCGTACTTAAAACTTTGGTGTAGGCACAAAACATGAAAAAAAGAGGCAAAAAATCGATGTTGTGTAGTGTTATCTCCATTACATAGAAGGAAAACAATGATAATCAACTTGAAAGGCTATTGAATCACAGATGAGTTTCTTACAAATTTATTCAGGAACACACCATATTTCTTGTGTAGATATTAATATTGTAGGCGGAAAATCCGATAGCTATGCTAATGTTGTTTACGTAAATATAATCTGTTCGTTATCATTCCTGTCTGTTCCACAATTTAATTAGTGAAGACACACTTGAGAGCTGTCATGATGGCGCCTCGCGCCTGTCTGCTTGTTTGGGGATGATATATCTTGTCATTTCATTACGCTATTTATAAACGCGTGAAGAAATTATCTTAGGTATTTATAAATTAATCAATTGCATACCGATAATTTTGCATGCCACATATTTAAAGGACAGATAGTGATTTAAAAACACATTTTCAGGGTTAAAATAAAATATAATATGAGTAATTTCGGCAGCTATAAATAGTTAGGGGTTCCAGTTTGGTCTTGCGATTGCTATATGACGATAATACATCTCGTCATTGTTAACTTGAACCTTTAGAGCGACGTCGTACTATTATCGTATTGCCCTAATTTCGTTGTACAAAATTTGGGCCGACTGTAATTATTTATAGAACAACAGTAGTGTTCAATATCTTTACTAAAATGTATTTGATTGATCGTCGCAATCTAGGACATGACAAGGCCAGATCGTGTTCGGTTCCAGTCCAGCTACTAAATATCGTCTCAATATGTGCAACTAAGTGATATTAATAGCTAGATAATACTGTGTGATTTAACTTGTGGTTGTACATTTTTTAAATAATTTTAATAATATATACCTGCTCTGCTCTTAATAAAGATGTAATACTCCATCATCCAATCCACTTAAGTTATAAGTTTTCTTTATTTCCAACATTAAACAAGTACCGTACAAAATATAACATCAACCACAGAAAGGACGTTATAAAAATGTCACCAACCATATTGTTACTATATAAATGACTGAGTTGATGGATGACCCTGTGGCCTATGTGCCAACGTGTCTGTCTAGCATCAACGTTAGTGTTAGTCAGGCCAATGATCCTGGTTTTCAACTATCCATTACTGGTCACGGACAGTCGGAAATTCGAAACTGCTTTAACATTGTCGTGGAGGTCAGTTGACAGCATACGACCTCTGGGTCAATCTGGTAAGAGTAATCAAACTCTTGAAAATCCATTAGGAAAAAGCGAGGATACATTACAATAGATGACCACAGTCCTAAGTGTAATATTTAGAGGAAAACTACTATCACTCATAATCCTAACAACATAGTACGTAAAATCCTTTACAGGAAAAATATTGTTTGTGGTTATGTAAGTTGGTTTTACCCGCTGCAAAAGTTCTGAAAACAGGCAATTTAGAAAACAACTAACAGTTGTTTTTATAAAAATTCTATTCTTATTGAAAGATACCTATTTTTTTTTCTTTGGCAACCGAGTCTCCAAGAAAGATACCAATTGGGTACGTGTCAACTAGCCAAATTCAATACTTTATTCGAACTGTCACAAACGACAGTTTTCTATGAATTTTGTACGAGATTGTGTTTTAGCGTCAAACAACATACTTATTTCGCCAAAATATTCTGGAATAACACTAAAATCAATTAATGAAACTGTGATTATTTTTTAATGTTATATTGTATTGAACAGTTGAAATAATTTATTTTTGATTAACGCAAGTACACAATGATGCAGTAAGCCAATCGGGTCACTAAATTGATTGACTTACTATGAGCTACATACATATTTCCTCATGGTCAGAAAATATATTGCGCTATTTGCAAAAGTGTGACGTGTAGGTAGACTCTGTTACCAGCACCTGTTACTACTACATAGACCTTCGCTACACGCTGCGAACTTTTACCTTTCGGCCGTAACTTATCAATAAGTTACGGCATATAGTGGTCAAGTACTATCGTTCATTTTCGTCTTCAAACATTTTCCTCAAATATCTTGTAAATGAAGAGGAACCCTTCATCGGCTTCATCGGCATCTACGAATAAAATAAATAATTATGACTATGTTTATGTAGGCATTTCAAGTTATATTTTAAATTGAAAAGAAACAATTAACAGATAAAAAATGGTTTATGGTCGCCACATGTTTAAACCTTTAATTAAAAAACTGTGCCATATTTAATAAGATAACCTTAAGAACCTAATTCGCATTCTTTACAACGCCAACTAGAAAAAAATAAGTAAGATCAACTACTTTACTACACTAATCTTTATAATTATATACTATCGCCTAAATTACTAACTCAGTCACGGATTTTACACCATACAACAAATTATCATTTTACGAAAACAATAAAAAATACTTATCAACCAAGGACGTTCAAAAAATGTGAACAGTAACTTTTTCTATGAAAACATTCATAAAAAAATTT